AAAAAAATAAATTTGGTATAAACATACTTTAATAAGGTATAAGCCAGTATAAGCTCCAGAAGCAGCCAAAAAACAAAAGCTTCTGAAAGTTAGGTAAACCATGTTCAAATAATGTTGAACAGGCTTGTTTAGGTTATTTACATTCGCAAAGGCACCAGAAACTTGACTAAGATTTTGTAAATTCATTATTTTATTTTGAATTACTGAACAAAATGGCTTGTTTTATAATTTTTTACCGTCACCAAATTTTTTAGAATAGAAAAATTTATATAATTAGTATATTAAATGTGTTTTACTAATATATATATGGCACCTTGAATAAAACTGCAATAATACAGTATATAATAACTAAATGTTTATCGTATATATAATGATAACTAAATAGTTATCATATATAAAAACTAACTGGTTATCAACCAGCTTTTTGATCAATCTAAAAAATTTAAATATATACACTAGAACTCTATTTACATACTGTTATATTTTAATTGGATAACGACAAGTTTATTGTATCACTATTATTCGTATAGATTATCAAAAACTAACAACTAATAGCGATAGTATTATCAAATGCATGTGTTCTATATTGATACTGTATTAAAAGTTATGTAATATATAAAATAAATTATGCAGTATATATTTGTTCACTAATAACTTTGATGTAAGTTCTTTCAAAAAAATTATATATCAAAAATGTATTCATTTTAAGATCACGTGTAAACCTTTTTAAATAAAGAGAAAACCAAACTTTAGAATTATATTGAAAAAATCTACGAGTAAATTCTCTTGAAAGATTCTTAACCTTTAATCGAAATATTTTTCTATAAAGAATGTATTCTCTTGTCGGTTCTATCACATGTTTATCGAATGAAATTCTTTTTGAAATATTTGAATGCCTAAATAGTAATTACAAAACCTTATTTTCATACCTTCTTGTAAACCGTAACTGGTGTAGAATTATTGTATTGATATTATAGAGAGCACCATGGTTTATTAAAGTTAAAGTCATCGAAATCTGTCTTCTAGAGCTAAATGCTGATGAACAAGCACTATTAGTTTCATTTAAAATTAACTGTCCAGAAAATAATCCAACGCCATTATTTGGATATACAAGTTTTATTAAATCTATCAATGGTCAGCATTTGAGTAGAGGAGTGATAAATTTCTTTAAAGGACACGAAAAAAATTATCCCGCAATAGCTGTTAAACAATATTCAAGATTACTTTAAAAATTCCTGTACAAATATTTTGTTATACATAAACTGTAGTTATAGTCTCTTGCAAAATGACGTAATTCGTGATTTAGTGTTCCTGTGACTTACATCTTTTCATGATCTTCTCATGATTGGTTAATCGCATTATATTGATGATTGGTCACATTTATAATTTTTTGACCAATTAAATTAATATAAATTAATCATCGAGCATGAAGATTAATATAAATCAATCATGTGAGTATAAAGTTATTATCTATCATTTACTATCAAGACAAAAAAGAAATAATATCGTCATGCATATTAGCGCATATTTTTACAGCATTGAACAGAGAATTGGGGAAACATTAATTTCACAAGATTATGAAAAAATTTTTAACATAATATATGCGAAAGAAAAGAAATAATTGTATAGTTATTTATTAACAATTCATATATTATAAACTACACAATTTTTATATAAAGTATGATATGTAAATAGAATTTTAAATGTTAAACTTTTAAGTTTTTTTTAAATTGTTAATGTTATTTAAACACGTTTTTGCAATATCTAACCTTTTAAGTTCTCTTTCATTAACCATTACCTCGAAATCATTTACCTTGCAAAGCTTTGAATAGTTATCTTCATTTTCCTTTTCTTCAATAAGTTCAAAAAGCCTTGAATAATATCCTTTAGTTTCAATTTGTTCAAGGAAAAACCAAGATTCATATTCCATAATAATGTTATCACAAATTTCGTTTTTGTTCTCGAAAACAACCTCTTTTTCTGAAGGCTCGACCTTGATGCTTTTATCTCCTAATTCAATGAGATAGAATCTAAATTTTTGCCTCACAGAATTAATATTTTTTATACATTCTTCTGCAATACGTTTTCTTTCAAGTTCTCTTTCTTGTACCATCTTCGCGATGTTGTCTATCAAATGAAGTTTTGTTTCATCGTCTTCATTGCCTTTATTTTTTCTACCGTCGAATAGTTGATAAATCCTTGTATCATATTTGTTATCATTACTAGGGATGGGAAAATCGAGGATTTTTTGAAACTGCTGCGCAGCCTGCACAGCCTCAATTTCTCCAGAAGAGACTTTGCCCATTAGCTGTATGGCTATATAATATAAAGAATCTACTTCATATACGTAAAGTTAGGCACCCATCATTTTTAATTAGTTTCTAAGGTCATTTTAGACATTAGTTTTAGAAAGTCTTTCATTTTTTCACTTTTTTCTTGCATAACGGGGATTTGCATCATTTGGCAAACAAAAACTAGTTTTACTAACCTAAAAATTTTACTAGCAATCAGATTTCAAGTTCAGGAGTAACGCAGAAGAAACACAAAAAAAATCAAAACAAACCAAAAATCGTTCATAACCCAACATTTTATAAACTACTTTCTGTGCGCTAAAAAAGATTTCTTGCGAAATTTTGGTACTTTCTTAACTTGATAGCAAAACCTAACCCCAATATAACAGCAAAAATTTTTTAGCAAAATTTTTTAAGTTAGTAACACTAGATCAGTTAATAAAAAAAAGCCATAAAAAAGGAACCAATTTTTATACCCCAAAATTTGATATTCGTACCCCGCAAACTAAAATTTTGAGCAAAAATATCTCAGAAACTACAAAGTCAAATTTGATAAAAACTTTTTGTTTTAATTCTGAGTCCAAAGAATTCAAACAAAAAAAGTTCATCGAATTTGACTTGGTGGTTGCTGAGATATTGCCGCTCAAAGCTTTAAAAAAAAACTTTAAAGTCTCAAAACAAAGCTGCTCCAAAATTTTCTTCAAACTCTGAGCGAAGATATCTTAGCACTCACCAAGTCAAATTTTATGAACTTTTTTTTGTTTGAATTATATGGATTTATAGCATTAAAAAAAAAAGAAGTTCATCAAATTTGACTTGGTGGTTGCTGAGATAATCTTTGCTCAAAGTTTTAAAAAAAAAAACTTAATAACGTCTATTAAAAAAACTTAAAATTTTATCCAAACTTTGAGCGAAGATATCTCAGTAACCACCAAGTCAAATTTGATGAACTTTTTTTGCATTAATGCTATAAATCCTTATAATTCAAACAAAAAAAGCTCATAAAATTTGACTTGGAGAGTGCTGAGATATCTTCGCTCAAAGTTTAGAGAAAATTTTGAAGTAGCTTTGTTTTGATTGATGTTTACCGAGTAAAATTCGATGAATTTTTTTGTTTGAGTTCTATGGATTAATAAAATTAAAACAAACCAATTTTTTATCAAATTTGACTTTGTAGTTGCTGAGATACTTTTGCTTAAAATTTAAAAAATATTTTAGTCTGCATATCAAATTCCCCAAAAAAGCCATGATTAAATAATTCCGGTCAAATTTGCAGATCATTTGGATCTAGAACAAAACAACTTTAAATGTGATCAAATGATCTGCAATTTGATCAGAATTATGAAAGGTAGGCTGGGACCCGGAAAAATATCGATTACTAAGTAAAATTGTAGACAAATCGATATTTTTACAAATTTTTCTGCAGTGTAACATTAATATTTTGGCCAGAATTAAAAACGGTATAGAGCATAATTCGGGCCAGGTAATATAAAGTTGGCCACAAATCGATATAAATCGATATTTTTGACCAAATCGATATATATTTTTGTCAAATCAAATCGATATTTTTCTGGGTCCCTGAAGGTAGGTTCTATTAATCAGGTGATGCAGATCGGGCAGATCAAGAATGACCAAAGTTATATTTTCCGATTGGCTAATTTAAGCTGCATCATAATGCTGGCCGGAATTATGCAAGCTGGCTGGAATTATAAAAATTATACTGCGCAGCCTCTCAAAACTGCTGCGCAGGGTCCTATCCCTAATCATTACTCTCTTCATTAATAAGCCATTTTTTATATGCCTCAGTCATGCCATCATAAAATTAGCTCTTTAAAATCAAAACAGAAATGACTTCTCTTTCCGAATCTTCATTACGAGATTGTTCTTAGACATGGCTATTGAATTAAAATGTTAAATAGTAATATTCACATTCTTTATATATAAAACCAAGTATATAATAATAGCATAATCTCATCGTGTTTGCTTTCCATATTAACCGGATTCCTAATTAAAGACATAAAACCAGCTCACTGATTAAGTTAGATACATGTATAAATATTCGGTGAAATTCGATTAACTAATTTTTAATATATTTATTAATGTTAATGTAGACCTAATATAAATAAATAGCAGGTACTGCAGATCTTATTTCGTGCTAAGAGTTTAATACTGTTATTATCATGTTGTAAGTTTTAGTCTGATGCATATTTTAATATAATTAAACGAATTTATAAGCAGAGAAACTTAAATAGAGATTTTAAGTAATTTAACCACCTGATTAAAAACGTGATTTATTCAATCGAGCTAGCTAGTTTAACTAGCTAATAGTACACTAAAAAAATATAATTTTTGATTAAAACAGAAACAACTTCTCTTTCCGAAGCTTTGAAATTGAATTTTTATCTTTGAAATAAGATATGGTGGATACTGGATCGGATTGTTGTGAATTGTAAAATCTTATCAAACATCTCTAATAAGTTTCAATAATTTTATTAAATATATATCGATAGCATATATACTCATTATTATAAGATTTATTGACCCGTATATATCTCACATTACTATTGAGAAAGCAAGTTTTTATTTCACTGTGTAAACTAAACTAGTATATTACTGTATATATAGCATATTGCAGATCTTACATATTTCTTAAACTTGTTTTTTAAAGATTTAAAGTTAAGAGTATTAAATTATATTGTTTATTACTTTATCTTTTTATATAATATACATATTTTTAGATCTAATAATAGGATTGTGATGTGTTCAATATACATTTTTATCTCATTCATATAGAATTCATCAAACTGAAATCTGATAAAGTGACTCATCATTTACTTCTTAACTTTCCCTTACGACAAGATCTTTCTCTAAATACCTAGGTAATAATTTTTTTAGAAAAAACATGCACTAAAATAAATTAGAATTTTGTTCACATACTAACTATAGTTTATAAAACTTACGATTTTAATATTAAGGGTTTAACTCGTTTGCCCAGAAATTTACTTGACTAAATTTTTGGTTATAATAGTTTTCGAAATTTCTAATGACTTGGTTCAAACCCAAAGTAAGAATATTATTTTATTCCGTCAATTTCTACTAAGCTGAAGTAACAAATTGCTTGAATCAATGTGTCTAATAGACATGTTCATATATTTATAGCTTCAAAAGAAAAATTTCATACAAATATTAAATTAATCAAAGATATTGATCATTTGAAAGTTGAAATTAAGTATTATGAAGATGTTGGCATTGCGATTAATGGTGGCAATAAGATTAAAAAAAATAAATTCTCAAAACCAAATTATAACTTCCAGTGGTGTAATATATTTAATAATTTAGTGACTTATGATTTAAGTTATTTTAAAATCATTCTAATAATTATTTTTTATTAGACAATGCTCAAACATTGAATATTAATCTGCTTTTGGAGCATATTCGGCTAGTTAATGAACTTGAAAAATACAAAAAAAATGATACACTTTTCAGAGTTGTAAGCAATTATAAAAATACAAAGGAATTATATAAGATTGGTTTATAAATATTTGTTGAGACTCAATCCGTTTATTATTATTTACGATGATAATAATAAGCGATTCGCTCCCGAGTCTTGAACTTTGCTTTATAATGAAATAAATTTCATTTCTTAAATTCAAATATTCGGGCTCTGATTTCAGTCTAATTTTTTGGTCTTAGCCAATCGAAATCGAGAATATTCTGTGACAAAATTGGTACGGCAACTAGGATCAATTGAGAAGTAAAATTTTTATTGAAATGCTTTTTTCTTGAAGTTACTAGTTTATTTGTTGATGATTTACACAAGTCTTAAAGAGGAGCTTATTAAAAATAACAATTCATACTCCGACGGCATCAAGATGCCGTCAGAGAATGAATATGAGTTCAAAATTATAGTTTATTAATTGCTAGTAATTAATCAGCATATTTGTATATATGATACTGTATAACGATAAACTACTCTGTTATAAACTACAATAAACTCTGTTCATAATATTATCAAAATTAAAATATGAAAATTTCAAAACCTAATTTGGGCCAAAATCATGATCTGTGATCTGGAAATCAAAACAAATAAATAACGTATAAAAGTCGATCCCTGATTCAATGTTTTCTTCTCAGTACTGCAGTATAGCAGTATGATTGATGAAAAGAAAGTTAAAGACATTTTCGCCAATTATTATAAACAAAATAATGAAATAACAAATTCTGAATCATTATCATTTTTAAATTTTCTTAAATATATTGAGAAACAACTGTTTTTAAAATCATCTCACCATGTACTTTTATTTAAAATTTATAGTAATGAAGTAAATATACTCTATCGTAAAAGAAAAAATTTTAAAAAAAATGATTCAAAACTAAAAATATTGAACGCATATAAAAATTTGGAGGTCTGGTATAATTTTATTTTTATTTTTTTGTCAAGTGATGATAATTTCTGATGATAAAATAACATCCAGTGCCTATATGTTAAAAGTAGTAAAAACAAATAAACTTTGACGCAATAACAAGTTAATATCGACATTATATTATCCATGGTAGGTGTGATTTAATACACCTATGTTGTAAGCATACATCGATATTATAAAATGTCTGAAATAGGTGTAATTAGACATCTGTGATATTAACTTGTAGTAGGTATAATTGGCATAAATGTTAATTTGCTAAAAAATTGATCTAAGTATTTAGACATTATGTTAATATTATAATTATTTTATTTAGAATGAGAAAAACTCTGCTGAAACAAATTTATTTTGGGTTAGGTATTCCATTGCTGAATGGCAAGAAACCATAGATGATGACAAATGTATGTACTGTACGGGCAGATGTTTAGTTAAATAAATCTTAGAAATTATTAACCTGGCTTTCGATTTATTGTAGTTGATGTGCTTCGATGCCCATATACAAATTTGCAACGTGCATTTTCTTTATGCACTACTAAAGATAAAATAGATGCACTAATAAAAGTTGCAAATTCACTTGGGCCTGATGAAAAAAAAAATCTTTTAACTACTGGAAAAGAGAAATATTTGAAGCGTTTAAAAAATAAATTTCAAAAAATGAAGGTATTAAATTTACATAGTAATAGTAATGGTTAAAGCAACTATTATTAGTTATACTAATTTATAAATTATATACTGAAGTCCGATAACCTGCTGATTCCATTTATGATTGAGGGTGAAAATATTCAGCAGATCTTTGCCACGATCATCGATTATGAGGATTTTACAGCTCTTGTCTGTAGAGATCCTACGAATCCATTATTGTCAGGAATAATGGATTTTGCAAATCTCCATACATTGTTAAAAAAAATATTTTCTCACAGATTAATTAATATTCTGAGCAATATTGAAGAATTCAATTTTGATAACAAGATCCGAGTTTATTTTGAATCTATAATAAATGATAATGATGCTGAAAAACTGACTAATAGTTTGATTTCTAATCACGATTTAGAAGTGTGTATTAAAGCAATAAAATTTTTGTAAGTAATTTTATTATAAACTGAATCAAAACTTTTCAGACTTTTCAGAACATACATAGCACGTAACTTTACTTGCTTTATAACTTATATCTGATATGATTACTTGAAATTGTAATATATTATAGCAAGCATATTTGGAATCAAAGAAAATATGATGATAAATGTCTTAATATTAATGAATCAATATACACTGATGATATGTTTACTTCTATTATGAAAGATTTTTGCCTAGAGGACGCTGATTTAATTACAATATGGTATCTCTTATGTTTAAATATTGATAATTACAATTTGAATATGATATATTTTACAGTTTATAATTACAATTTTAGTTAATTGAATTTTTATATAGTGGAGAACTTGAAACATCTTGTTCCTGCCACCATCGGCAAGGTTTATATGAAGGTTCCAATGAGAATAATATAGAACTTTCTTTAATATTGTCAGAAATGAATCTTAATACTGAAAACTTTATGAAGGTTGGAAATTTAGGGAACAAAACACTTGACATTGATTAATCTAAAAGGGGTTATAAGATTGATGCGGCAATTGGAATACGCTTGATGAAAGAAAATATTATACAATTTTTGATAACAGAGTCCAAAAAACCAGGCGCAGATCCTTGTAATGACAAGAGAAAATAATTGCAAGAACAATGTGATCAAATTAATGGAATGTTCTGATGAGATTAATAATTTTTTGACTTTGTTAAAATTAATCACGATCATTCTTATTAAGAAATTTCATTTTAGTCAATTTTTAAGATGTCAAGCTTAAAGTTTCTTTTAAGCACAAATTATTTTTGAAATCCTGTAAGGTTTTTTCTCACGAAAAATTAGAAAATCATATCGATCTTGGAATAGGTTTAATCATATCGAACTTAAAAAACGAAGAATGGGTCAAAATATTGAAACGAATCCTGAAAAACTTATTAAAATTCCTATGGAAATGAATCCTGAAATATTCCAGCGTGAATCCAGAAATACGTGAGAGTAATTGATTGATGAATAAACGGACAATCAATATGTTTTACTGGTGAGTTTTGAAATCCATTTCTTAGCATGTAATAGTTCGAAGTTACATGCCACTTAGGTAAACGAAAGTCATGATATACTCTACAGATCTTCGACCGTATGGTGTATAACTATTATGAAGATATTACCAAAGTCATGGGCAACTCCAAATTGTGATGAATAGACCTTTATGATCATTTTTTATAAAATAATTATCAAGAAAGGTCAACAGAAAAACTTATTAAAAAGAAGGTAATTCAAATATTTAATTGATAAGACATGTTTTAATTTCAAAAAAATTTAATGAAAATTACATAATTATGTGGTTTTTTGAAAGTTTTCTCAACCTTACTTGTAATTAGAGTTTTTTCACTTCCTACATCAGGAAACATCGGATCACGAGAATATATGGTATTCATTTGTTTGACCCGTAGTCAACAGACCCGGCTGCTGTTACTTTATATAGAAGTGGAATGTCATGTCATTTATATGATAGACGTATAGTAGATAGAGAGGATTGACAAAAATTGTCGCGTACACTATGTATAGTACTATAGTTTCCGATAATAAGTAAAATTATGAAAAAAATTGGCAGTTCCGCACTTTATGCGATGTTTATTAATGCTTATAAAGGAGAAGTTAACTTGAAAATTTGTTTAATTAGATACAGGTTTTAGTAGCTCACATTCTAATCATAATAATAAACCTGTCTCTATAAATGATTTGATGTCATTTAGAGACAATTCTTTAATTGCATATCCAAAATTTACTATTTTAGCTCTTATTAAATTAAGACGTATTTTCTTTAACTAATAACATATTTAATACCCTTTTGCTTCTAAATTTATTAAATTTTATGCTGAAATTTTAATTTGTCTAAAGCAATAGACATATATCAACAACAAACAAAATCCAATATGCTAAAAAATAATTTTATGAAAAAATTATTTTATATCTAAAAACTAAAAAATTCTAATCCTTGCATATCAAACTTTACTGGCTTCACCAAAATTATTTTCGTTCTTCACTAAAATATTATAATTTTCATTATCTTCACTAGTTTGGTCATCTTCGTTAGTTTCGTAGTAAATTTGACTTTCATTAGCTGCTTCATTGGCATCATTGGCTCGGTCAACTTCGTTAGTTTCGCAGAATGAATAAGTATATGTTAGTTGAGGTTGTGGAAAAGATCCATCATTATTAATTTCGTAGATTTTTGGTTTGCTTGCTTCGGCGGCACTGTTAAAGCCCGAATAACGGGCTCTTGGGATAATTATTTCTCTGACTCCATTATTATATAAAATTCTATTTAATTTGTTAAGCTCTAAATAAAAAAAAATATTAATTTTGAAAAAATGAGATGATAAATTGTGCTGCTTTTTATAAACTTACTAAGTTTATCATTTTGACATAAGTCAAAGATATCTTTGATTGCTTGACGTAGCTGTATATTTTTTTCTTCACTATTATTGGCTAGGGTAGCTACTTCAAATAATGCGTATTGTAAATTTTCATTATTATTCTCTAATTCTTTATTTTCAGTTCGTAATTTTTCATTTTCAGTTTGTAAATTATTATTTTTTTTTTCCAAGATATGATTTTTATTTTTCAGTCTTTCAATCTGAATAATCATGTTTTTCATTCGAACATTTAATGAATCGAGGATTTGGATAGTGACATTGTATTCTGATTCTGATGTTTCTTTTCGAAGATATCTACACTCGTGAAATTCTCTGGTGCTAGACCAATAATCTGTAAAAGCATCTTGTATTTCTTTCGACGTTGAATTTGGCGAACCAAGTATTCTTTCTAATTTTTTTTTCTTTGCGTCTTTTCGAGGCATTTTTGGTTTTAAGAATTTTTGATCTGTAATACTATTTAAATAAGCTTACTACTAGGCTTAACCCAAATATATATACGTATAATATATTAATTAAATCACTAACATGTCAGCTAAAAGCAGGAAGTTAACCAGTTTAAGTTTTAATATTAAACTTTATTTAACGTTGATACGTTACTTTAAATAACAGTCACGTACTGTATACGTACTGTAAGATGTATAAATTTTATTAATTATACGTCAAAACTGTTGAATAACCTTTATCGGTGGTAATGCTTGGAAGCCTTAATAAAAGTTTTATTTAAGGATATAAAATATAATTAGTAAATATTTGAGTGGCATAGGTAAAGTTTGATCTGATTGGTCGGTTATTACTATTATAAAATTATTGAAATTTTTTATATTGTTTATAATAGGATTTCTTGACCTGAAATATAAAAAAAATATTTTTCTGGTCAAAGCAGTTTAAAATTTTAAATGGTTACATTTAAAACCACATCTTTCATATTATTTAAAGATCCAGTCAGATCACAAGCTTACCTTAGGAGCGATTTTGTCAACAATACTTTCTCGATCTAAAAGTTTCGAACATCAAAGTCGGGACGGTCTACCGACACAGCATTCACATGACTTATTTTCGTATCGGCACAGCAAAAGTCAATACGATTATAGCTGTTTTTACAAATTCTGGAACGATAAATTAGCTTTAGTAATCGAAAAATTTTCAAATGTTGCTGTGCTGATAAGATGATAAGTAATGTGAATCAAGGCCGTTCGAAGTTAATTCTTCGGTTAACATCACTTTCAGAACTTTTGGGAGAGGGGGGGGGGGGGGGGGCAAAAT